GTCCTCATCACATGGACTGGAAGCAATCAGCCCTGAATTTAAATCTTGATGTATAACTTATAAATTATGGGACCTTTGGCAAGTTACTTATGCTCTCAGAGTCCTCATATATTAAGACATGGTTCACAATTCCTACCTTTGAAGAACTGATTATTAAATGCTTCAATTTATTCAAACTCCTAGGTAAGTATAGGTTTAGGCATAGCACTCAGGGCTGGTATTATTCTCAGTTCCACTCACAGACTGCTTCCCAGTTGTATCTCTGTGTATGATCCTCAAACACCACCCCCAGCACTGGTGGTCACCAGAGTTGCTTTTCTGCTTTCTAGCTTCCATGACTCCTGCAGGACCTAAAAGGTCTCTGGCCATGCAAATAAAAACAATATCTATTATATGTCCCTCTGCTGGTTGCCATCAAGTTGACTGTGACTCCATGTGTATCAGAATAGGACTGTGCTCCATAGAGCTTTCAATGGCTGACTTTTTGGAAGTAGATCTCCAGGCTTTTCTTCCTTACAGGGTCCTTATCTGAATTTTAGGCCTCCTCTAGAGATCTCACACATATCTTTCTTTCTCTTTTTTTGGGTAACACTATATTTTACAATTCTGGAGAATCTATGGATGACATTGTGAAGAATGGGAATTTCAGAACACTTAACTGTGCTCATGTAGAACCTGTACATAGAATAAGAGGGCAGTTGTTCCAACAGAACAAGGGGATACTGTATGGTTTAAAATCAGGAAAGGTGTGCATCTGGGTTGCATCCTTTCACCACATTTATTCAATTTGTATGCTGAACAAATAATCTGAGAAGCAGGACTATATGAAGAAGTAGCAGCATCAGAATTGGAGGAAGACTATTAACCTGTGATATGCAGATGACACATCCTGGCTTGCTGAAAGTGAAGAGGACTTGAAGCACTTACTGATGAAAACCAAAGACTACAGCCTTCAGTATGAATTACACCTTAACATAAAGAAAACAAAAATCCTCACAACTGGACCAATAAGCAGCATCATGATAAACAGGGAAAAGATTGAAGTTGTCAAGGATTTCATTTCACTTGGATCTACAATCAATGCCCATGGAAGCAGCAGTCAAGAAATCAAACAATGAATACTGCATTGGGCAAATCTGCTGCAAAAGACCTCTTTAAAGTGTTAAAAAGCAAAAATGTCCCTTTGAGGATCAAGCTGCGCCTGACCCAAGCCTTGGTATTTTCAATCGCTTCATATGCATGTGAAAGCTGGACAAGGAACAAGGAAGACTAAAGAAGAACTGATGCATTTGAATTATGGTGTTGGCAAAGAATATTGAATATACCATGGACTGCCAGAAGAACAAACAAATCTGTCTTAGAAGAAGTACAGCCAGAATACTCCTTAGAAGTGAGGATGACGAGATACTTTGGACATGTTACCAGGAGGGACCAGTCCCTGGAGAAGGACCTCATGCTTGGTAAAGTAGAGGGTCAGAGAAAAAGAGGAAGACCCTTCATGAGATGGACTGACACAGTGGCTGCAACAATGGTCTCATACCTAGCAATGATTGTGAGGATGGCACAGGACCAGGTAGTGTTATGTTCTGTTGTACATAAGGTCGCTATGAGTAGGAACTCACTTGATAGCACCTAACAACAACAGCTTTTGTCCTCTGCCCTTTTCTTTCTAACTTGTCTGAAAAATACTTTCTTAGCTAGATGATAAGGTCAGTTCACCATCTTCTTTTTCCAAGCTATTACCTGAGGGTTTTTTGTGGGTTTTTTTTTCTCATCAGAGACCTCTGGCTTCTAAGAGGGCCTCTTTTCTCTATCTCCCTCACACTCCATCCATTTTTTATAAAAAGATTACACAGTACCATGTTATAGAAAACAAATTAGAAGACAACCCTAGGTGCTAATTCTAGTTCTCCAACTAACAAAATATGTGACTCTCACCAAGTCATTTAATCTATCTGAGACTCAATTTTTTCATCTGCAAAATAGGGAATAATACATTCTTCCAACTTCAGAGGCTGACAATCAAACTCAATAATGCAGGTGAATATGCCTTGAAAACTGTAGTTCTATACAATGCATAGGTATTATCTATTCAACAAAGAGGCCGTATAGCATAGTGGTAAAGATAAAAGAATCTCAAGTTAAACTGCCAGAGTATGACTCTGGCTCTATCACTTACCAGTCCTATCTTTTAACGGGTAAAATGAGGATACTAGTACCTATCTCATATAATGTTAGCTATTATTGTTATTATTAAACACTTAGTAGTTGCTTTGTACTAGGTGCTGGTGGTACTAGGTGCTGGTGGTAAAATGTAATCAAGACAGACATGGTTAACATCTCTGTCAAAACCTCTATCTCGTTTTCCATGTACTACATTTTCTAAGTTATTTATGTCATATATACTTTACAGCAAAAAAAAAAAAAAAATCTGAATAGTAAAGCAAGTCCATAGAGCATCAAGATAAGAGTCCATGATTCCACTATTCTCTTCTGTGGCAATTTCCAGCGAACACATGATGACTAGCATTCCTTTTCCTAATCCATTACTTGAAAGTGTATTGATGACTTCTGGCTAAACTATCTGGGATGTGTAGCTATTAAATACAAATAATCTAAGATAGTGTTTCTCAAACTAACATCCAAAGACCACCTGCTTCTGAATCACCTAAAATGCTAACTAAAAGGCAGATTCCTGGGTCCCATTTCAGATCTATTGACTCAGAAGCTCTGAAGATGAAAGTATCCGCATTTCTAATAAACTCCCAATGTGATTTTTCTGCAAATCCCATTTGAGAACCACTATCCTAAGAGAATAACAAAAAAACTCCACGACATAATAAATCCGTATCCAAAGGAAATTCTGAGGGATAATGATCCAAAATTTCACAAAGGAGAAAAATTTTAGTCCTCAGAATAAATTTCCACATGCCTGTCACTTACAGGATGGAGTCAACAATCCACAGAGATCAAGACCAAAACTGACTTGAACAGGTAGTCCCGATTTAAATATACATATTCCAGTTACAACAAACCCCCACTTACTACTGTCCCTTTTTTTGGTACATCTAATCATTAGCGGAGCCTGGGTTGCACAATGGTTAAGAGCTTGGCTACTAACCAAAAGGTTTGCAGTTCGAATCCACCAGCTGCTCCTTGGAAACCCTATGGGGCAATTCTACCCTGTCCTATAGGGTCGCTATGAGTCGGAATCAACTCAATTCCACGGGTAATCATTAGTAACACGTACTACATACAATGTTGCAGTGCATAATTTGCTGATGTTATTCTTAGATGTTCATTCACCGCAGATGTTCAATGTCATGATTTATAAAGACATTGATAATAAAAGGCAATAATAATGAAAACTAATAAAAATTAGGTACTCTACTTACACCAGGCCCAACTTATAATGAGTCATGGGAAGGGAACTCCGGCTTAAGTGGGGGACTGCCTGTACAGTGTAACTGTGAGTGTTCAAGAAATTCCTATTCTAGAGGCCAAAAGAAAGGATGGAAAGGAGACACTCTGAAAATGCTTACCTAGATTTCAGAAGAAGCAAAGAAAATGGGGTTATTCCAACAGTCACACCTACTCAAATTGGGGTTCAGTGGTTTCAGAAAATGGAACTGCTTTCTCTTAGGCTCAGACAACTAATATACTTCCCTGCTCCAACTGTCCACATCTACCACAAACCTTAGATGATCTCTCAAATATAAGCCTTGGCTACTGGGGGTGAAGCTGATCCTGCGACCACCGTAACAATCAGAAGCAAGAAGAAACATGGTCTTTTGATAAAAGTAAACCAAAATAACCAATTAAAATGTAAACAGATGCCTTTGGTCAGATGGACAGTTATAGGAGAGATTTCACTGAGACATGGAAGAGAATCAAGCAGGTGTGAGCTTTCCAAATAATAACAATTCAAAACTAATAAAATATTTGTCTAGCCACCAAGTCACAGCGGCCTGGGGCCCGCACTGGTTTAGATAATAAAATACCCACAACGGCGTTAGTTCCTAAGATGCTGGTGAGTTTATCACTGTTACTGGAAGAAATCGGGCGCCCAAGGTGAAAAAAGACGCCCGACCTGCCCACACTATAACGAGTGAACCAGGTCTGGAGCAGCAGAGCGGGCGGGACCGAGATTTCTTCCACATCACGGCGCTCGCTCTTCTTCGCCTGCGTGAGTGCCGCCTACCCACTCACGGCGTGAACCCACTGGGCCTAGTCTCTCCTTCCCCCTCCCTTCGGCCTGGTGCTGAATCATGAGCCCAGTGGCTCCAAAAGGTAAAATCAAAGAACAAAGCCTCCCTTTCGGCTAGCCGGAATGGGGTACCAGGTCGGGTGGGGCAGAAGGCTGGAAACCATAACTGTGCTTCCCTTCTTCCCGAATTCCCCACCCAACCCCCAAATTAAAATGAGTACTGCAGCGCTTGGGGAATTCCAAGTGGGCGCCCCTTCTCCTGGGTTGCTCGGTGGTCTGCAATGCTCCGCGCAGCGCGCTCCGCCTCATTGTTCCAGCGCGCCGCCCGCCCGCCGGGGGCCCGCGCCTTGCCGGGCCCGCAGCTCCCAGGGAAGGGGGAGGGTTCCGCCTGCTGGAGATCCCCTTCCCCTCGCCCCTCTGGGCCGGGTAGCAGCAGCACCCTGCCTACTCTCTTCGCCTTCCTTTCAGCCTATCCCTAAAGGGAAAACCACCGCGTCTGCGGAGGCGATCGGTGGGTGCTGTCCAAATGCTAGGAGGAGGCGGGCTGGGGGTGGGGGAGAAGAAGCTGGAGGTTCCGGCCTGCGCGAAACTGCAGCCTTCGCCCTGACAGAGCGATTCCAGTTCCACCCGCTCGGCCACGGTCCCTCCGGCCCGACAAGGGTCAGCTCGGCAGCGGCCCGTCTCCCAGCCCTGGATGCTGGCGCCGATCAGCCTTGGCCCTCCAGGTCTCCAGAAGCAGAAAGCAGAGGGCCAGTCCCTGTGCAGGCTGCAGAAGTTACCATTTGCTACTCACCCCAACTGTTTCTGTCCCTGCGGTTCTTGGCCATCGTGGTCCGGGGACTGGTGGCGTTGAGGCGCTGTCACTGCGCTCGCTGTCTTCTCCCGGGCTGCAGGTTGCTGGCGTTTGGAGGCTCTGTGCCCGCCCTGGGCGCAGTTCGCTCAGGCTCTGAGGATGTTGCTGTGGCGCTGGTGGGAAGGAGTGGGGAGGAGAAGGGAGGAGAAAGCGGATGAACCAAGCTCAGCATCATAAACCCGAGTTCACACAAATACCAGCGTCACACCCTCTCTACCTCAGCCCACCCCTAGATCGTGAAGACAGTGACAGACGATGTACTGCAATATTTTTATTGGAAAACACACAAACAGCACCCCACCCCCCGCACACACACTCAAAGAATTTAACAGCATTATCTAGTCACAGAAATATACAAACCAATATACTGCATTATTTTGGATGTTCAAATACCTGTTTCCTAGAAGAGCCTTAGTACAAACATGCCATCAACATTTATATAGCCAAGAAGTTAAAATAATCTGCATTTATCTACCAGGCACCTTTTTTTTTTTTTTTCATTTTAAAAGCAAGGTCATGTTAGTAAAGAGGGTATCACATATTTTTCTTTCTATATCCTGAACAGGTCTTTTTTTTAGGACTATGATTGCAAAATTTAGATCAAGAAGATCAAGACAAATGAAAGCTGGAGATTCATCATAATCTATAACTAACTCGATGTCTAAAACCAAAAAACAAACCCATTGCTGTCAAGTCGATTCCAGCTCATAGTGACTCTATAGGACACAGGGTTTCCAAAGAGCAGCTGGTGGATTCAAATTGCCAACCTTTTGGTTAGCAGCCACAGCTCTTAACCACTGCGCCACCAGGGCTCCAACTCGATGTCTAGTAGGCAAAATTTCCCACTAGATTTGCAGAGGTAAAGTCTGTAGTTATAGTCCAGTAGCAAATATTTGAAGTAAAATCACACTACATAGTCTGGGTGGGCCTTGGCAGCCACAAAGGTTACAGACAATTTTGAATGAAAAGTAAAAAATGTTCTCAGTCTATCCCTTTCCATTGGTTTCTTCCTTTATGCCTACAAACCTAGTTGTTTTCAGTATCTTGGAAACCCTGTCCCTTTATGCTACTTGACCCTCAAAATACCATAATCCCATCCCTCACGTCTTCATTCACAGATTTCTCCTGCATTCAGTTGCTGCCCACACACTCTACTGATCAGTTCTTCCTAGGCAACCACTGCTAGCCTCTTAATTAGTAGATGCATGATCTCTTATTCTTCATCCTAAGCAATGCCTCTCTACATTCTCTCAATGTAATTTACTCCAATGGCTTCAGACAGGACTTCATATTGATGATTCCCAAACCTATACTTCTAATCTTATGCTCTCTTAAGGACAATCATCATGCCAGAACTGAATTTATAACAGCCCAAGATTGCCTACACTTTGTTTTTGTACTGGAATTTCAAAGTCAACATGTCTAAAACCAAAACAAAACTCTCCCACCCACCACTGCCAAATTTTATGCATCTATATTTCAGTTAATGGTTCTAGTGACCACAGAGTTTGAACACTGCAGCTTTACTGAAATTTACATTATGGTTTTAAGGCAACTGTGTTTAAGAGTTGTATTTCCCAATCACCAGTGAAATAACATAGGGAGATAGCAATTATTATTTCACTCTTGTACCTAAAAACCAAATCATAGGACAAAAAGAAGTGTGCTCTGCTATTTTTTTACTATAATTCATGGCTCACATTCCAGCCTGAAAATCTCTTTCAGGCGCATTCAATTTTAAAAAAAGACTACAGTAGATTTCAAAAAAGATCATTAAAAAAATTTCAACATCTATTCCTAACTATAAATTTTTAAAAATCCCCTCCCTTTGTAATAATCTGTGAGATAATACTCACAGATGAGACTGTGTGAATATCCTAGCCAAGAACCTCCCCCTTCTCTTAGCTGGCATTCTCTCCCCCTCCTTTTTTGGTTTGCTTGTTTGTTGAACATCATTATGGATTCATAGAACCTTAAAAATAAATAAGGATTGTGTTATTATCCATTACCATAATTATTCTTTTTGATGCTCAAATTGTCCTAAATTTGGCTAATGGAAGCCTCATCAACTCCTTTGTCCTTTTAACATATTGCTATTTGTCTTTATACTTTGGACATGTTATCAGGAGGGATCAGTCCCTGGTGAAGAACATCATGCTTGGTAAAGCAGAGGGTCAAGGAAAAAGAGGAAGACCCTCAATGAGATGGACTGACACAGTGGCTGCAACAATGGGCTCAAGCAAAACAATGATCATGAGGATGGCGCACGACCAGGCAGTGCTTTGTTCAGTTGTACACAGGGTCGCTGTGAGTTGGAACCGACTTGACAGCACCTAATAACATTTGTCTTTGAGCATTTTCTTATTTTCTGGCACAAGAAAATGTTTCCAGTTTCCCTTGTATTTTCACTACCTCAGAACTGGAATTAGCCATTTCTCCAAGAAGCTCTGGCTCCCTTTAATGAGAAGAATTTAGAAAACAAGATCTGGGTGCTAGTTGTACTCCTTGCTGACTGTAGTATCATTTTTTCTAGACCCTTTAGTTAAAAACATATTTTTTTGTACCTCTGACAGTACAAAAATACATATATATGAGGTTATTTATTGCAGCACTGTTTGTAATTGTGAAATACTAGAAACAACCTAAATGCCCACACATAGGAGAGTAGTCAAATCCACTGTAGGATATCTACAGAATGGAGTACTATTTAGCTATATATCTTTATGAACTAATATGTAGTGATTTCCAGAATAGAGTGTTCAATGAAAAAACCAAAGTGCAAATAGTGTATCCTTCCTGTAAGAAAAAAGAGAATATATATATACACACGTGCGTGTGTGTGTATGTATAATGTATCTGCTCACTTGTGCAGAAGAAATACAGGAAGGGTAAACCAGAAACCAATGAGATTGGTTATCTACAGGATATGGGTGGGGAGAGGATGGAAATAATGGGAGAAAGGCAGTGGGGTAGTAGGGATGAGGAGGAGTGAGACTTCTTTCATTGTAACATTTTGGTATAGCTCTTACTCTGAGAACCATAGTAATGTTTCACATTCTTCAAAATAAAGGATATGGGAGTAACTCAAAATGGAATTACAAACAGTAAAAAATGAACCTAACTTTATTACAGATGAATAACATAACTACACTACAGGGTGAAGAGAAGAAAAGAACCTAAGGAACTTTAAAGAACAGTATTTTGACTGTATACTATAAGGCTTAACACAAAAAAAAAAAAGTACACAAATATTGTACTCACAAGACATGGGTTAGAAATTCTAAAATTACTTTGTGTATACTCTAGGATTGAATAAATATATGGTACATAAGGAAAGCCAGGTTTCTCATTGTTGGAGAATAAAGTTACAGTAAAGAAAGGGAAAAGGCTAGAATGAACACTGTGGTGTTGAACTGGAATCGAAGTATTAGAGTGAATGTACTGTTTTATTTTATCCACACACACACACATATACATAAACACACACAAATATATACATACATGCATATACAGATGGATAAATATAGATGAACATGCATATGTGTTAGTTTCTTAGGCCTGCTGTGACAAATTACCACAAACTGGGTAGCTTAAAACAACAGAAATTTATTCACAACAAAAATTTATACCTTTATAGTTCTGGAGGCTAAAGTCTAAAATGAAGCTCTCAGCAGAGCCATGTTCCCTCCAAAGGGTCATGGGGAGAATCCTTCTTTGCCTCTTCCAAGTTTCTGGTGGTTGCTGGCAATCCTTGGCTTGTAGCTGCATAACTCTAGTCTCTTCCTCCATCTTCACATTGCCTTCTTCCCTCTGTTTATCTGTGTCTCTGTATCCAAATTTCCCTCTTCTTTTAAGGACATCAGTTGTATTTAAGGCCCACCTAAATCCAGGATGATTTCATCTTAACTTGATTACATCTGCAAAGGTGCATGTTCAGGGTGGACATAAATTTTGGGGGACAGTATTCAATACAGTACAGTATAAATAAATATATTTACTTGTTCTGTCTTCTAAGAGGGCTTAGAAGCTATAGCATCCCAGTAGTAGTGAGCGTACTTAGTACCCAGATCTTGGTTTCTAAAGACCATTCTCCAATAAAAGGAGAGACAGTTGATTCCAGGGCTGAGGCAAGGAAAATACAAGATGAGCCTGATACATCTTGTGATGCCAAAAAGTAAAGAAGACTTCAAAAAATGATGAGGGCATGTCAAAAGAACACAATAGTTCTCAATAGTCATTTAATGAGTTCTCAATAGTCAAAACTATGGTAATTTGAGCAATAAAATAACAATAGTACTTGATGTAACCAGAAGATTAAATATCCATTGTTATAAATTAATAAATAAATGAGAAGAGACAGCTCTTCCTAATGGTAATGTTCCAATTAATAAATGTTGAAGGAATAATGGACATAAAAAAATCACTGCTAGGCTAACGCTACAGTAATAACTGCTGCAAGCAAGTGCCATCCATGTATACTAAAAGTAGCAGGTAAAAGTGTCATGTGACATAGTATATTTTGCATTTGCATAGTCTCAAAGTATTTCCCTACAAAATAGTTACTAATTACAAAGGGGAAAATAGTAACTTTACACTGGAGAAACCTGGCAGATACCACCTTAACCAAGTGATCAAAGTTAACACCACCATACATAAAAAAGAATATACTGACATCGTGTACTGCTGAGAGATGAATTGAGGGCATAACATCACATATTTCCAATTCAAATCCAACAAATAGAAAAAGGTCCTGCCTTACATTTACCCATTTCATATTTATATTTCTCTTCTCCCACAATGAGAACCCTGATCTTGAACATCAGTATATTTATTCACTAGCTAGCCTACAGGAGTCCTGATGATGCAGTAGTTAAGGGCTCAGCTGCTAACCAAAAGGTTGGCAGTTTGAACCTACCAGCTGCTCCACAGGAGAAAGATGTGGCAGTCTGCCTCTGTAAAGATTACAGCCTTGGAAACCATTTGGGGCCATTCTACTCTGTCCCATAGGGCCACTATGAGTTGGAATCGACTTGAAGGCAACAGGTTTCGTTTTTTTGGTTTAGCTAGCCTATCATAAAAGAGCAGAACACAAGATTTCAAAGGGCAGCTCAAAAGACAAACTAAAGCATTATAATAAAATGTGCAAAGACCTGGAGTTAGAAAACAAAAAAAGAAGAACACACTCAGCATTTCTCAAGCTGAAAGAACTGAAGAA